GCTGGTCCAAAGGAAGTTTGGAGAAACAGAGATATTAAAGTCAGTCAAAGGAATGCTGAAATTTACCAGCTTAATAGATACAAATTAGTTAATATCCCATAGCGCATTAACCTCAGGGGGTGTGTTTTTTTACTGCAAGGAAATCTATGAGTTAATGTATAACCTCGGTGTCTGGTCTCTAATCAAATAGTAAACAGCAAAGTCAAACAGGAGAATTCTCAGACATAGATAATTAATTATTAGGAAAACATGTTAAACAATGTCACTGTTGCCTTCCTCTTACTTTATTTCAGGTTTGGGGTGATTTTTCTTCATAGTAATGCTTTTTTTTTGTTTTTTTTCTCGTATGCGGGCCTCTCACTGTTGTGGTCTCTCCCGTTGCAGAGCACAGGCTCCGGACGCACAGCCTCAGTGGCCATGGCTCACGGGCCCAGCCGCTCTGCGGCACGTGGAATCTTCCCAGACCAGGGCACGAACCCGTGTCCCCTGCATCGGCAGGCGGACTCTCAATAACTGCGCCACCAGGGAATCCCCACAGTAATGCTTTTTAAAGTGTTTAGAAGAGACTGTACCAAGATAAATCATAAGGTATTGTTTACCTTGGTGAAATACTCTGACCCTTAGCTCTGTAAGTTCAAAAGCTGATTTTTTTCTCACCCACAGTGCCTATACACTAACTCAGCTCAGAGGAAACAAATCTACAAAGCAGACAAAAGCAATTTGTTTTCATTAAAAATATAACTCATGAATAGATCAGATTCTTATATTCTATGGCTGGTACATTCTTTCCCCCAAGGAAAGCAGTAAATTGGGGCCACCTACCATCTCAATGTTGCTTGATGATCTCTAGTGAAACTAGCTAGGAAAATCGAGCTGCAATGCAGTGGAAATGTCCCCACCCTCCTCATTTTCCCAAATGAAGGGCGGAAAAAGATCTCCTTTCTCCAAGAGCAGGAAAAATTAGTATGGCCGCAAAAAGTCTAGGTTCTTGCTTGAGATTTGGGAAGAGGGTGGAGAGGAATGGTAAGTACTTCTAGTCCTTGCCAGTGGGTAGGCTTTACCAAAGAAAACTCTGCTATGGACAATATTAGGAAATTCCATAGATTCCAAGGTAGGTTCCAAAACTAAGCTTCTGCCTCCTAGTGGCTCAGAGTCTGCTCTCAACCTAGACAGTGAAATGAGCCAAGGGCATAGTCCCAAATCCTGTTATTAGTGTCTGCAGTCTCCCCAGGAGCCTCCCCATACACACCCACATGTCCACACGCCTCACTCATCTTCCTTTATTGCCCAGCTCCTTCATTTCTCATCACCCATGCCCTCCTCTGCTCTGAGAACTTTCCCTTATTTTGGTGGAGTGGGGTGGAAGGAGAGAGGCAGAAACGGTGGAGGAGGCTGCCCTGAAACTTATTGTACTCGGAGTATATTCCAAGACCGGAACCCTCTGTTGGGTAACCTTCTTTCCTGTGCTCCTCTGGCTTCACTTAGCTACTGTTAGTGACCATGAAATCATTCAATAGGTAAATTGCTTTTGCAACTCAACGATTAATGACATCAGGACATCTCCAAAACTCCTGCCTTTGAACATGGATAGCTAAGGGGAGATTTTGATGCAGGACACTTCCTCCCCCAAACTGAATGTACATGGGAGATGCCAGACTGGATCTCTTTGACATTTTCTAGGTTCCATCATATCTAATGCCTCCTCTGACTGACTCAGTCTTTCTTGGTCTGTAATTTTATCCAAGGTTATAACATATTTACTTTCTTGCTCTTCCTGCTTCTGGTGTGAGAAAGTTTCTGACTCTAAAGTGCTTTTGTAAGATGATATATTCCATTGCATACTCTTAGGTTGGCAGGTGTAAATTTTTTTATGATAAGTTTAAATAAATGAGAAAGATGTAATTCTACCATACTGTATATTTTACAAGTCTGTACATATTTTTTGACAAAACTCTGCACATTTAGCTCATTCTTCTCATTCCATTTATGGGGAAAATCTACTACACAACCTAATTAATAAAGCCAGTCCTTATTGACAAACCATTTCAACCAATCAGATTCACTCTCCATCAGTTTTCAATCAAAATAAATCTAATAATATGCATCATGGAAACCATCTCATTTATTAATTTTAACTCTAAAATAGACATATCAGATATCCACATAGATGGGTAGATAGAAAAATGGATGGATGTGAAAGGAAGGAAGGAAGGAAGGAAAGGAAGGAAGGAAGGAAGGAAGGCAGGAAGGAAGGAAGGAAGGAAAGGAGAGAGAGAAATGATAGAGCACTGAGACGTTTTGAGTTTGTTACCTAAATAAAATAAGATGGAATCACTTAGAATATTTCTTACTGAATCTGTCCTTGTTCACGAAGAAATTCTCCCTTGCCAGCTATGAATTCTTTAATTGGTTCCCTTGGAACGCTGGAGACAACCTAGCCTAGGAAGTCACATTCTGTCATTTTCACTGCATCCTATTGGTTGTACCCTATTCATTGTGCAAGGGGATCACATACGGCCATAATTAGCATCTTCAAGGCTGACTGCCACACATACATGATGGTTGTTCAATAAATATGGTTTGAATTAAAGAACTGTGTTCTACTTTTATCATTTAAAACTTAGAGAGACATCCTTTTTCTAAATGGGGAAAAATATCTCAGCCTCCCACCCCTACCTGGGACAGCCTACAAGGTGAATCTTACTTCAGTTTTCAAGTAGAGTGTGAAAAACAGCAACCCAGAAATGATACCGTGATGATATTTTTGCCCACTTTGAATACTTATATAGGACACTGGAAAATCTTTTAAATTAGTGACATTTCAGGAAACCTAGGTACTGTGGTTGCTGTACATATCAGATAACCCTACTGATCAGAATATTCAGTTCCTGCCGCCTGTATAGAGCTTCCTAGTTTACAAAGAGTTTTCACATGTATCTCATTTGAACTAATAAAGTCTCTGAGAAGGAGACAGGATGGATTTTATTCCAACTTTACAGATGAGGATACTTGACCAGGTCCAATTTTAATAAGAGGCAGAGCCAAGAGGAAAACTTTGTTTTCTGATTCCTAGTCCAGTAGGGGTGTGAACGATAAGAAGAGACTTTAAGGAGGAATTTGCATAGGATAGGCTGGGTTGTGCGGCAGAAAAGACAGCCCTAACATCTCAATGGCTCGAAACAACAGAGATCTGTTTCCTGCTCATATAAGTCCAACGAAGGTGGATTGACTTTCCAAGGCAACTGCCCTCCATACAGCAATTTAGTGATCCAGCCTCTTACAGCTGCCCCATGGTTGTCACGTGGGGAAGAGGGTCTTTCAATGAAAATCAAATGCTTTGGTCTTAAAATGACACACAGCCCTTGCCCTGAACAGCCTGTGGGTCAGAACTTGTCATATGGCACCGTCTGACTGCAAGGGGACAGGGTAGTGTAAGTCTCCTGTGTGCCCAGGGCATGGGTGAGCGCCAACACTCTCTACCAGTATAAACAGGGAAGAATAAGTAGGATCTGTAGAAGTAGGAGGAAGCCCCTCAAGGACACGTGTGAAAATGGTGAAATACACGCACAACACCTAACCTTTCTGAAAGCCCAGTGCTGGTTTCTCTCACGTACATTTTTATTAGTTGATGCTGACAACAGCTTGGAAGGTAAATATTATCCCCTAGCTTATGGTTTAAGAAACTGAAGGTCGTAGAAGTTACAAAACTTGCCCCAGAGCACATATTAATACGTGGAGGAAAGTCTACCTCCCTTGTTCTTCTTTTTCTCCATCTCTCAGTTTTATATAATGATCTCTTCACCATCACATAGGGAATTTATTTTTACGGGGCCCTGGGAATCAGTGGGGAGGGATGCACAAGAGCTGGCAATTCTACTGGCAATGTTTTATTTATTGAGCTGGGTGGTGAGCACACAGATGTGTGTATAATTCTTTTTATGTCTTAACTATTTCAAAATACTTTTTAAAAAGGGGGGTGGCAGTGAGTTTGAAAACTTGTGAGTTTCTTATCTTAAAAACATGAGTATTTTTTATGAATATCAGCAGCCAGAAAGCAGGAAATACTGTATTGTTAACATTTATTGAGCACATACTATGTCCTAGTTTTAAATAATTTATTAACATGTACTAACTTATGTTTCCCTTCCAACAATGCTACCAATGAGGTAGGTACTATCATTATCCTTATTTTAATGAGATGAAAAAATTGAAGTCAGATTAAGTAAATTATTTAAAGTCAAATAATTTATAAAGGGGGAAAACCTAGATTGGAATGAAGCACTCTGGTTTCAGGACATGTACATATGAAACCCAACACCCTGTAATACCTCCCCCAAGAGGTGAAGGATGAGTCAGATTTGGAGAGGTGGGCCAAAATCTTTCATGCATCTTCTTGTTACATTCCTTAGAGGATGCAGTTAAACAGGGAATTAAAAATAGATTTCTTGTGACGTTGACCGAAAAAGAGATGATGTGTTTGGCAGCAGTTTCAAAGAAATATTTAAAAATATGGGTTTGACTCCCTTGGACTGGTTGAAGGGGAAGGACCAGGTGATAACAGAGGGCTCTACATATCATGTAAACTTCCCTGGCAAGGAGGGTGGAGTTAGGGAAGGAGTGAAGACTTTTCGAAGGTCAAGTAATCTCGCCGAGTTGGGGTTTTTCTCCTGCTTGGATTGGGAAACTATAAAAACACAGTTTGGGATTACTGCTGTTGCTGCTGCTCACTAGATCACAGTTACTCCGGGACAGATCTCACTTCGGGATTGCTGGGTAAGAAATTCCCAGGTGGGATTCGCACCCAAGCGAGGCGGAAGCGCAGCGGGAGAGCTCTAGATTGACAACTGGACCTGCCCGCGCCGGCGCCGCAGCGGGCGCCCGTGGAGGACCGCCGCCAGGGGGCGCCCAGGCCCGGCTGGGCCGCTCTGTCTCCTCCCCTGCCCGCTCCCCGCCCCTCGCTCCTCCGGTCGAGCAGAGAAGGCGGAAGTAGGGGCGTCCGCGGTTGGGGCTCGGGCTTCCGGGGGATTCAGTAACGGCGGCCTTCAGGTCAAGAGGCTGGCGTTCTGGCCCCCTCGGCTTGGAGTGCGGTGCCTTTCTCTCCTGGCACCTTGGCTGAGTGGAGTCCTGCGGCCGGGCGTAGTCGGCGGCCCAGCGGACCGGAGTGGTGAGTCTCCTGACGGCTCCCGGCGGTGGCGGCCTCTCTCCTCACGGGCTGGGATGCCTCCTCCCCTCCTGTTTCTCACTTGGGGACGCCGCCCCTGGCCCCTAGCTTCCCACGGGTTGGGGGCGCCGCCTCCTCTCCCCTGGGTTCCCACAGGTTGGAGACTCCGCCCCCTGTCCCCATACCTCTGCTCCGCCGGCCGGTGGGGACCACCTCCCCGGCTCACTCCATCCCCCAGCTGGAATCTCGCGCCAGCTTTCTCGGTCCGACTTCCCCCACCTCGCGCATTCTTCTTCCCAGAAAAGGAAATCGCCTCCTGTATTTTCCCATCGCTCGGATGTTACCGGCTTAAAAAAAAATCCGTTTTAGGTTCTCAGCGACTCCCTCTGTCACTGTCAGGGGAGAGCTATTTTTGGGTTCCCTGTTGAACTCGGTAGACGTCCCAGGCAGCAAGTTTTTTGTTTTTTTTTTTAAAGAAAAGGTTCAGCTGACACGAATGTTTCCTCCCCCGCCCTTGCACGCGGCAGTTCTAGCGATTGTTCCAGACGCTGGGTTGATAAAGCTGTTCCTAGTATTTGGCTTCAGGGGAACTCCAGCTGAGTTAGCACTGTCTTGAATGTGAACAGAAAGCACCTACAAATTTTAGGAGCTTCATACAACGTATAGTATTTGCGTGTTTTCTCTGGTTTCTCGGGAGTGTAAATCACTAAATGTCTTGCTACACAGACATAGAAACAAGAAAAACTTGAAATTCTGAGTGTTGGCCTTGTGAACCTGGCCATTGGTATTTTATCCATTCCCTTATGATTACTCGGGAAGGGAGAAGGGGCTTTTCTGATGTTGATATGAGAGTGGGGTGAGGACGCTGTGGCTTCTTTTGTGACTCAAGGAAGGAATGTGTCTCAGGCCCTTGTTGCCCATGTGATGATCAGAGTTTCAACCTGCGCGCACTATATACATCACAGTATTTAAGAATTGTAACTTGAAGTCTTTTCTGTGACAAATTTGGATACGTGATGCTGGTAAATTTTTGGCCACTTAGATTTTGAAAGAAGTTCAAATCTTTGCCTCCTGGAGGAGAACAAATCATGCCTAGGAAAGGGAATGACCCCTCAAATTTGTGTTCAAAAATAAGGCATAGCAGCTGACTCTTTTGCAGCACCTTTGCCATTGCAGCCCTTTTGCAGGTCTTTGCAATTTTAAGAATAGATCTTAAGGATTTGGTAAATAGTTCTTGTTTCTAAAGCTAGTAGCAAATTAAAGGTAATTTCTCAGTATTTTGTATTATGTGGTTTTACTTTAAAAATTGACCAGTTCAAGACATAACTTAACTGATTCTTTAGCTTGGTACGTTTCTCTCATTAGCATCTGTTGATCTTAAAGGAACAACGTTTTGTGTATCGCTCTACTCCCCCTCCCACAAGATATTTAACAGTATACTCTTTGGAGCATAATATATAACCCCATACTAATAGGTGAATTTAAGCCATGATTTCTTGTAAGGCTATTTTTGATATTCATTTTGCAGTCAGAATAAGTTGGCAGTGGTTACATCCCACAATATTTAAGTAACTCAGTGCTTACTGTACTAGATTCACAATTACAAAGAGGGAATTGCAGTCATGAAGCTCTTAACATACTAAGGAACCATTTAACCTTTGTGCTGTCTCTTGCATTAATTCATATAGAAAGCCACATGAATTCTGAATGTTAGAATAGAAAAGAGGCCAAAGAAATCTTTGAAGGTAAGAATATCTGTTTACTCTTATTTATTTTAGCTTATGTAAAGCCAAGCGTACCTCTGTGACATCTCATGAAGTGGATACCTAAGGCACCATATGAGGTTAAAAAAAATACTAATAAAGCATAGTATTTTCTACACGGTTGCCAGATCATCATCATCATCTTTTTTTTTTTTTAATTATTTATTTATTTATTTTTGGCTGCGTTGGGTCTTTCGTTGCTGCACGCGGACTTTCTCTAGTTGCAGCCAGTGGGGGCTACTCTTCATTGCAGTGCACGGGCTTCTCATTGCGGTGGCTTCTCTTGTTGCCGAGCACAGGCTGTAGGTGTGCAGGCTTCAGTAATTGTGGCTCGCGGGCTAAATAGTTGTGGCTTGTGGGCTCTAGAGCGCAGGCTCAGTAGTTGTGGCCCATGGGCTTAGTTGCTCCGCAGCATGTGGGATCTTCCCCAACCAGCGCTCGAACCTGTGTCCCCTGCATTGGCAGGTGGATTCTCAACCACTGCTCCACCAGGGAACCCCCCCAGATCATCTTCTATAGCTGACTCTAAGCACTTTTTGGGGTTTTTTTCTTCATGTTAATTAAAAGAGTTACTCACTGTAGTTAAGAAAGTGATTTTCAATTAAGTCATCACAGTCCCTAAAAGTAAAGGGAAAAAACGTTTTAACTTGCCAAAAAGAAAGAGTAAACCTAAAAATACTGAATGGCACTCAGAATACTGCTTTAGCTTAATTTTCCCTTTGTAGTATAGTTACATGGGACTACATACTGTAGACAGAGTGACTACCTAAAAAAGTTTATTTGAAAGATGTAAAGCTTCTGTATTACTTAAAGCATGAAAAATAATGGCATCTATATTTTTAAGAGTGCTCACTTTC